TAAATCTCCAACGATAAGTTGATTCTAGTTTAAATATTAAATAAAAGGTGAATTTAGGTAATTCATCATCTCTTGCAGATATTTTCAACACACTATTATTATCAGTAAGTTCCCATTGTCCGCACATGAGATTTTTAGATTGATAATTTGTATCAAAAAATTTTACAACATATTTTGGTTCATTTGATGTTTGTAATGCAATACATGTACCATCAGAATAAAAACGTAAAAGACGGTAATAGCTCACAACATGAATAGGTTGAAACCAGGTATTTTCTATAGAACCACACCTAATTTAAAAAAAAAATTTTTTAAACTATAGAAAAATAATATGAGCACCAACAACATCTAATGTTTTTCTTAATAAGAAAAGATTGTGATAAATAAAAGATATTAATCTTATTTTATTTTATTATTATGATGATTTGGGCAAGGATTACGCACATAAATTTTTTTAGTTATGCATCAAAAATATCAATTTTGTGCGGCAATTATAAAAATTTATTTGAAATTTTATCATTATCATTAAATTCACAATTCTTTGATTTTTTTTTTATGGGCAATAATTATCAATGGTCCCACTCATAGAATGATCACAAAGATATCATCCATCAACAATACGACTTGAAGGTGACTGCAACACTATAATTCGGGTTAATAGTGTATTAAATTTAAACCCAAAAAAGGAAACTCAAACTGAAAAAATGCCACTACAAGGACCACTCATTAATACATTTTAATTAATCTTCATAAATAATTAACTAAACAGAAAAAATATACCTCGAGGTTCACATTAATATGACGATTTTATCCCTTAAACAGTTAATCAGCTATTGATAGCTGATAAAATTTTTCTGATATATAAAATTTTCTCTAAGCATATCACTTCCTTATATGAAAATGATCTCTGAGATATAGCCGATTGGTCTGTAAAAAAATTCGGATGTTGTACTTGTGGTTTTGTATAATAATAACTTTCTCTAAAAGCTGGTTGATTGATTATTTTTTACTTTGCTGATCGTTAAATTGACCAATAAGAATGCGATATCGTGATTTTGTGTTACCATTAAAGAATACTCTGACCGTTTAAGGGTAGAGTTCTGTTACACAGTATATCATATAGAAATGGATGGCAAAATGTGTCAATCATTGAAACAAAAATACGGCACAACCATGATTTAACATTCAACACTTTTAATACATTTAATATAACAACAAATATAATTATTCAGATATGTGTCCATTTGTTATTACAATTTGTCATTAGAAAACAGATATAATATAGTGCACGTCACTTAGTCACTGAACTTTTTATTGGCTGTGTAAATCCTCTATCCTCTCCAAAAATGGAAATGTATGACCAAAAAAACAAATCATAGAATTAAAGCTAAGACCTTTCTCTACAATTC